TTAACGGACAGCAAAAATGTTAATTAACTGTTTTCTTAAATCAATAGTATAACTTTAGATCAATGCTATGATACAGAGCAGTCATATGCATTATGTGTATGTGTATTTATGGGACTTCAAAGCATTATACTAAGGTAATGAAGGACATTAATTTCATATTTAGTCTGTGGTATTTCATATAATAAATATATCCCAAATTTATGTAATTTAGAGCATTATTCTACTTTCATAATGACCAGAAGTTTATAGCTGCTGGGTCTTCAATAACATAACGTGATATTGGTGAGAACTGTAATTTATTTGATGACAAATTCTTAATATCATAAACATCAATTTTAATATTGCTCTGCAGAAGACCAAGTTCTTTTGCCAATTCATTTCATAATTTGTTTTCAAGGAATACAGCAAACTGAAAAGTGTGTTAGTGGAACTAGCGATATGAATAACAAACAGTTATATAGCTATTATTAGGGGTCATATTTTTTCCACACACCTGACACCTGATTATACCATTTCTATTTTTCAAATGCGGAACCTGAGTTATAACAAGGGTTAGTAACCAGGCAAAGTTCACAGATGTGGTAAACAGTAACTTCCAAATTTGAATCCTGGAAGTTTGGCCCCAGAGACTCTGCTTTTAACCACGGGACAAAATTTTCTCTTTGAAAACCCAAATAACGAAGAGTTCTTATGATGGCAGGAACATGTGGGCATTATACAATGTTGTAACTTCACTACACTAATTGTGTCATTTCATGTATATGTATATATTTATGTGTGTGTGTGTGTGGTTAGGATTTCTCTATATCTACACAGTATGCATGAGATAGAGAGAACAGGGCAGAGATTAGACAAAGGGAAGAAGAAGGAGTGGGAATAGCTAAGTTATTTTCCTTTAGGAACAGAGAGCTATCCGTTAGTTTTATTCCAAGGCCTGCTTGTCACAGATGTGTGGTTTTTTATGTTTGTTTTCTTTCTTTTTTTTTTTTTACCGCATTTTTTTTAGTGTGTAGTTTTGAGAGAGACAGAACAAGAGGGAGAGGAGCAGAGAGACAGGAGGAGACAGAAGGAGACAGAGGATCCCACGCAGGCTCCGTGCTGACAGCACAGAGCCCGATGTGGGACTCGAACTCGCAAACCGCGAAATCGTGACCTGAGCTGAAGTGGGACGCTTAACGGACGCAGCCTCCCAGGTGCCCCTTGCTTTGCTACATGTTCAAGTCAAGACAGAATGATAGGCTACAGAGGGGAATAAATGTAATCACTATTTCACGGCTATTGGCATCACCCAAGAGCTTGTTACCAATGAGGAATTTCAGATACCACCGCAGACCAACTGAACCAAAATATTAATTCAGACAAATTCCCAGTGTTGGGGGATCTTCTCCATGAATAGCTCATACTATCAAGTGTTCTGGGAAAAAAAAAAAAATGTTGAGAGCTTTTGTTTTCAAGAATATTTGTATAGCAAATAGTCTTAGAAGAGAGAGATAGTATCTCTCTCCAGAAGAGAGAGGTAAATATGTTTGCTGTTGAGGTTAATAACAAAGATAATGTCTCCCTCTGGAGCAAGGGTAGAGCAGATTTGTTTGCATCTCTTCCCAAGATTAAGATTTCTTACATTCCAGGTTACTCAGTGGTGAGGCAAATTCACAGCATGCACAGCCACCCCCTAGACCACTCTGCATTGCCCCATGGGACTTGGGACTTGAAGAGCAAGGGAAACTCATGTGAACATAAACCTCATGCTGCCCACTATATCATGAGTAATAAATTCTTTTGTCTCTGGACCACGAATCTCATGTCTTCTGTCCCAGAAACGAAACTGTGGGAGGCTAACTAACATCTTTGCCTGAAGTAAGGTAAAAATCTCACACTGTCTACAGTTGACACCCAGTTATTTGTATGCACTTTAATGTCTGATAAGCATGCAGGCTACCTCACTTCAAATTAGCGGATAAATAAGCATGGAGGACAAACTCAAATGCGAGCCCACACAAGCATTGTTTAAAAGAAGGTTTCTGCCTGTTTTAGTGTGCTGACACAAGACTGATGTAGTGACACAGTTGGATAGCTCAGCTCTTCCAAGTCCATTCTTCCAGAAAAAATAAATAAATAATGATTTTGGGGGGAAGAGAAGGAAAAAAGCTCTTACTTCAACTCTTCCAGCATAAGCATAGATTCACAATTTAAAAAAGACATGACCCTTGGGGCACCTGGGTGGCTCAGTTGTTTAAGCATCCGACTTCCACTCAGGTCATGATCTCGCAGCTTGTGAGTTCAAGCTCTGGATTCTGTGTCTCCCTCTCTCTCTGCCCCTCCCCTGCTCATGCTCTGTCTCTCTCTATATCTCAAAAACAAACAAACATTCCAAAAAAAAACTTAAAAACACATGACCTGTAATTTCCTGGATTTAGGTAAGTGGCACGTGGTCTGAAGTTGAAATTGCACACTAAGAGATTCCGTCCATGTGCTTCATCCACTCACGCTTCCCTCGTTTACAACCTCCCAGAAAGAAAGACTTTGGCTCTTACATGAGAGATGCCACTGAAAGGGAAACTTCTCTTTTCCTCAACTTCAGTTTTGACCAATTAGTATTTAGAAAGAAGCATTCTTTTAAGAAAAATTTACTTTCCATATTCCTGATTCTACACATTGACACCATTATTTTCTACCTCTCTGGAATGCCCCAAATGAATCTTCTGACATCGCTTCCTGGGCGGGACTCATTCCTCCTGAGAAGAGGGACTTGTCTGACCAGGACAACTAGAAGGAGCCCCACTTACATTAGTGCATGGCTGTGGTTTGGGCAGGGTAACTTTCTGGAGGAGAACCTTCCCTTGTGTTTGGGTCTGCTCTCCTACTGTTCACTGCATGGATCACAGACAGGACACCTCTCTGCCTTCCCACTCCTGCTTGCAGCCAGGAAGTTGCTGAGAAAGTGAGATCAATTCAAGATGGAAACTGCTTCAAGGAGCATCACCCAATCCATCTTTACCAGCAATAACTATGACACTTTTAGATCCGGGACCTAATTGGGATCCTCATTCTATTCAGGAACTCTGATGTATTATCATTCCAAGTCCTCATCCTCATGATGACTTATTATTACTAATGCCATATGTTCATGGTCATCCAGGAAGTGGATTGCTTGCTAAAACATTAAAAGGGAAAGCAGAAAACGTGCCTGAGAAACACTAAAAACTTATTTATTTTTCCTGCTAAAAATGCTGAGGGATACCTCCTGTGAGAAGATGAAGCACATTTTCTAATTCTCTGATGTGACAAAGTTCTAAGATAAGTCAGGCTGTTCCTGTCCAAAATTCCTATAAGGGGAATTTATAGCCTGACTAGTTTATCCTGAGAACAGATTTCAGATAAACTCCCAGGCACAGAGACAGAGGAAGGAAAATGATGGCTGGGAAAACAGATGTCACAGAGGCTCACAGAAGGGAATGAGCTGTCACACTAATAGCGGACGGGAGCCACAAAGGGTCAGTAAGGCCCAGGAATGAGTGGGGACACACAAAGAAAGCATCATACCCCAAGGGGGTACTGTTGGCAACTCCACTTGGAAAGAGAGAAGATAAGTCAGACACTAAACACTGCAGGAAAATTGCATCAGGGGTGCAGGGTATTGGACAAAGAGGACCCAATCCAGAGACCCAAAACTTGGACTCGCTTTTGAGGCTTACTAATTCCATCTGGGTGTAAATCACCATTTATTCATCTTTAGAACATAAGGAGATAGACTTGATTAGCTTTCCATTTTTTCTCCCAGACCTGACATTCTACAGTTCTAATGAAGACATTGATACTTTTAAATCTTTGGTATTGGTAATTGGTATTTTTAGACCTTTGGCAATAGAATGAAGGAGACCCTGTCAATCTAAATAATCTATGGGGGTAAAGTAAGTAACAGTGCAAAGTGCACCAAGGTGGCTCCCCAAATCTCTCTCCTGGTAGAAAACAATGGCCGTGAACTCAGGTGATCACCATGAGTTAAGAAGCAGTGAAAATAGGAGGAAGGTCCGACAGATCTCCCAAGTCAAACAAATAAATAAGATGAATGAAATAGAAACCTGAGATATGACTTTGTAAAATAATGAACACAGTTTCTTTTGAAAACAATACTGTCTAGAAAAAGGTCATCTGGACCTCTATTCAGAAGGAAAGGGGTGCCTTAATCATTAATTAAGACAATAGTATCTGTGAAAATTTGTTTGAGCTCTTGAAGCAACTATGAATAATAGAAAAGGGTTCAGTGACCAGAAGCAGCCAGGTTGTTTCCCTAAGGTGAATTTCTCTAAGTCTCTGCATCTGTAAAAATCTTTCACTAGATCACACTAGAATAACAAAAAAATCTTCCACTCTAATCCAAGTCTCTCCTAGAATAGCTAAGACATGGAGCATATTTTTGTTCTTTCTATGGTGACAAGATTCATCAATGAAAATACCAGGAGATGTCTATTCAGAAGTTCTGCCAGGAATATTTACACACCGAGCAGTTTGCCCCTAAACAAAACAAAACAAACAAAAACTTGGGAGTTGTTCTGAAACAGCAAAGGAAACTTGATTTGGCATGTCCTTGCTTCCTGAATACTCATAAGCTTATCTTTGGAACCAAAAGCAATTCTATGCTAAAATTTCAAAGTTCTCAGCTTGGCTGGCTCTAACTTTTGCTCCTGACTACAAAAGCTCAGTGATGGCACCTGCACATTATCTCCATGCTGAAATGCACATTCTTCTTTGACATCTTTGTCTGGCACATCCTCTTTAATTTTGCAAAACACACACACACACACACACACACACACACACACACACACACACACACCAATGAATAAAACCACAAAGTGTTGCATATCTGCTTCCTTTCTTGGAATGAGAGTCCAAGTCTCTCTAGCTAAAAAGCGTTCAGTTGTTACGTGCTCATGCATGAATTATAGAGCTACACAATGTAATTGCTCAGTAATTCGGTGACAGGGATAGAAAACTACCTTCAGCCTGGATGAGCTACTCCACTAGGATGCAGAGATCCATGTTGCTCCATCTCTAGTGATGATCAAGCAGGGCTCAGAGGGCTGTTTATACCTCCTTTTGAATGCCTTGCCTGCTCAGAAGTCCCTTTCCTAAAATTTACATAAAAACAGACAGTTATTTTAACTTGACTAAATGTAGAATTTTTTACGGTTATTATTTCTGAGCCCCATGCAAAGTTTCACAAACATGCTCATTTACCAGAGATAATTATGTGTGATTTTCTCCTTTAATGAAAGATAAATAATTTGGCAGTCTTGCTTCACATATTTTTCTATTTCAATACAATTCATTGTTTGCTGGTGTGTTCTTTATTCTGGTACTAGTTAGAGTGCAGAATGAAAGAGTTTTCTTTAGAGCAATTGTGCTGGTTTTCTGTAAGGCACCGCTGTTCATACGAGGTTTATAAAAGACCATTAAAGGCTGATATTACATTGGGTTCTGCTCATAATGATGTAGCTCTTTGTTTACAACTTACATAATTCACTGTAGTGGCAAAGCCTCATCAAATTGGGACAAAGGGAATAGAAAGTACATTTCTGGGAACCTAAATAGGATGGACAAGTTTGACCAGCTCTAGCTTTCATTGTGTTTCTTTGAATTAAATCAGGAGCCATGTTCCCAGGCTTCAATTTGGAAGAGCAATCATTCATTGTTTTCTTATATGAGATGGTGTGTGTGTGTGTGTGTGTGTGTGTGTGTGTGTGTGTGTGTATGCGCGCACATGTGCACAGGTAGTTAATATATTAAAGGTAAAACCCATATAGAAAAAATGCAGGAATATATGGCTCCAACATACGGGAGAGTCCATATGATAAACTCCCACTTAACTCTGGATGCAGACTGGATTCTCCATGTGAAAGAAACATTTGCATGTAGTCTGGGTAGACACAGTTGAACTGAAAAGCCAGAAATCAACCTATGTTCCAATCTATTTTTCTTGACACCAGAGCCATTCAAAGAAATTTCTATGATGACAGAAATAATCTCGATCTGCTTTATCCAACATGGTAGCCACTAGCCTCATACCGTCATTGAGCACATGAAATACTCTACCAAAGAACTCAATTTTTAACATTGAAGTTTGATTTAAGTTAAATGTTGATACTTCTGTGTGGCTAGTGCCCATTGTATTGGATAGCACAGCTTTTTATTAATCACTAGGGTAGGAGCAAACCACTAAGTTTTCCCAAGACCAAGCAACATCAGCTTACACATAGATACACCTTGCGTTCTATGTGTATCTGACCGGAAGTTGAATAGGCATACGGTCTGCAACTTTACACACTATGCCATGAAGGAGTTATGAAGCTGAATGGAAATGGGAGGATGTCTCCTTCTCCTTCTCCATCAGGAGATCAGGACCAAATTAACTTGGTGGGCAGCCAACACCGCTTCACTGTGAAACCTGCTATGTTTTGAAGTCTTCACTATTACTGCACTGCCGCCTTCTACCTCCTCCTCCTTTAAGTATGTGTATTTAGATCACACTCTGAGTACAGCATGGTTACTAAGAGTAGGATGGGAGGGAAGAATGATTCCCCTACAATCTGTTCTATGGCAAAGGCAGAGTGATATTTTCTAAATGCCAACCCTATTCACATACAACGTCATAATCTAATCTCTACTTGCATGCCACATGGGCATGTCTGAACTCCTATTCTAACATGGTGAAATACCTAACATACAATATGATACAATGTTTCATTTCCCCCCAGATCCGTTCTTCTCTTGATCTTCTCCACCTTGTCATGTGTCCTCACCATTCACCCCAGTGCACACAAGGTGGGTGTTTCTCCCCCTCTTTCCACACCCACATTCTGTATCTAGTCCATCAGCAAGTCCTATTAGCTCTCTCTTCAGAAATCCGTCTAAAATCTGATCTTCCTCCACAAAAAACTGTCTTTCTATCCTTACACCTATCTTTATATCCCCCCCCCACTAGCCATAATGGCTGACCCACGCTTTATGGTGGGGAGACCCTAATATATATACCCAAACTACCTTTCTTAACCCATCTCAACGCCTGTGCTATCCTGCTGCCTCTTTCATAGCCTTCTCACTGTTTCCCAAATCCCCTAAGCTCATACCCTCCCTGAAGCTTTTCACCTACTCTTCCCAGACTGGAATGCTCTTCCCCGCATCTTCTGTAACTCATCTGCTAACTTCAGTTCTCCTGATCACTGCCACTGGTCATTCCCTATCCCCTTACTCTATTTGATCTTCTTTACAACACATGTCATTGCATGACATTATATCATTTCTTAACTATTTTTCCTTGGCTTTTTCTATGAGGATATATGTCTCCATGAAATCAAGGATCTTGCAGGTCTTATACACAGATATCAGCACACAGAACAGGGTTCAAAATTTAACGGGTGCTCAAATATTTGTTACATAGATTAATGAAATTTGATTATGTCACTCACCCAAACACATATGCTCAGTGAAACCCAGATGCATGAAGAGACACACTTACCACAGGTATCAAAATACTACATGGACACCCTCAGAAAGACACACATGCCACATGAAGAAACACACTGAAACTCCTTAAAGCATTCAGAGACTTCTTGTTTTGGCGATAATGAAAAAGATCGTTGACTTTGGTAACGAGCTTTTGCACAACATGGCTCCACTTATCTCTCTAGCATCAACTTAAATGCTCCCCAGTCAGCCCGTGCACTCTAGCCACACCAACCTTCTCTCCGTCCCTTGAACTCAACATATTCCTTCACATGAAAATAGTTTTGGTATATCCACCACTTGGAAGGCCCCTCTTTTCTCCTGTCCAATTTAATTTCTAGTCAACATTCATAGGTTAGAAGAAGAGTCCTTTCCACATGGAAACACTTGCTGGACTCCCTAAGAGAGTCTTCCTATTTAAGCTTGAGACTTCTGTGAATGAATAAACGAATGAATGTCAGTGATGTTACTTATGGTTATTGGGCCTCTGAGTACATCTGAGTATTGAAATTATATCTTTACTTGCTGCTACAGTATTTCAAAAGTAATTAAAACTCATGTGCCGTTAAACACAAGTCACATTCTCCCAAGTTGAAAGGATGCAGTCAGAGAGATGGAATGGACCAGCAGGCTTTGCACGCTTTCCATCACCATAATGGTGACAGAGATAAAGTTGACATTGCAGAAGTTACCAGAGCTTCTATTTACCTACTGATATTTACTGTGTTCCCCCAGGACAGCCAGTAACATCATTTACTTCAGATAAGGTAAGGTTGACAACGCGCTGAACATTAAAAGGAAAAGCACCTGGGTAAAACGAAAACAACACTATGTCCTGGCAAGGGGAAGAGACGGATGGGCCATAAATAAATGTGAGTTCATTAAACATCAGCAAACGGCTACAGCAAGGATTGGCATGGTGTGTACTATGTCATTTTCATGAGAGTATTTTCTAAATATCATTTACAAAAAGAATACAAGTGAGAGGGTTATTAGGAAAACAATTTTAAAAGGTATAGACTGAAATGGAAGAATGTGGATTTCCTGAAGTACCCATTGGCTAAATAGTTATACTTACTCACTTATTGTAAAGGAAAGAGGCACGGCTCTACAATTTCAGGATCTGTCAGACCCCTGAGCAACTAACTCACAAGTCGCTGAAGAAAATCCTTTAGGTAACTACACTGTTTTCATGGGGCTGACAGATTCAGCGACTGTGCAGAAGTTTGGGGATGGCAGGCAAGACTCCCAATATCCAAAGTGTTCATGGTAACAGTGCTTGTTCAGATTCTGCTGTACACTGATGGTAGAGTTCTCTGTATATTTATTTATTTTCTAAATATTTTTAATGTTTTTTGTTTTGTTTTGTTTTGGTTTGGTTTTTTTTGAGACAGACTGAGACAGAACACGAACGGGGGAGGGGCAGAGAGAGAGGAAGACAGAATCTGAAGCAGCCTCCAGGCTCCAAGCTGCAGCATGGCGCTTGAACCCACAGACCATGAGATCATGACCTGAGCTGAATTCGGACACTCAACCAACTGAGCCATCCAGGTCCCCCCCCCCCCACCCCGCCGCCACCATATACCTTTAAAGGGAAGATCTGAGTGTCCTCAAGTAAAGGGGGGCCAGTAGCCAGAGTGTCTGTCACACAGCACAATAAGGCTATATCAGACACTGACTCGGTTTGTGTCTTCCCTGTCATCCTTAATTAACTATGAAGGAATCCATCTCCCACCACAAAGGATTCACTTTGACTTCTGTCAATATTTTACTTGTGATTTCTCCTGTAATGACAGGTCTTGTGTCTACTCTGCATCCAGATGGTTATGTGTCCACCCAGCTATGCCTCTCACACAAACACAGCTGTGTCCTTGCTCACCAGCACACCAGACATGGATGGCTCACCAGGTACCTGACAGTGACCTTCCCGAGCATTTCTGAAATTGGTGACTTTTGGACAGCTCAGGAGCTCTCAAGAAGAACCAAACAACAGTAACACAACGGAAGCTTCCTGGCATGAAAAAGCAACTCAACACTGTCCTGTGAAATGTATGATGATAACATAGCTTAGACTTGTTTTGCCCATCAGAAAGCTTACATTGAATTATAAAACAGTAATTCCAAGCTTAGTTGTGAGGGTTCTGGGTTTTACCTTTGCAGATGGGTATTTCAAGGAGCAGGAACTTAATTTTCAAAACAATTCCAGCTCTCTTTAACACAGAGTTCTTTTAACTTAATAAACATTTATTGTACAGGCACATATCTGGGTACACAGATTTAACAGCCTGTGTTCTCAGCAATTTTATAGTTCAGGGGCAAATACAGAGATGTGAATATTCTAGTATGTTGCAAAGTAGTATGTGCTCTGATGGGGCAAACACAGCTATAGTTATTAGACTCTGCTTACAATCATGAAAAACTTCCTTTCAGAAAGTGCTATTTCAGCTGAGATGTGAACTAAGCCTTGGGGCAGGCAAAGGGGAGGGTAGCCAAAGGGGGAGTAGACAGGAAAAGATCGAGATAGAACAGTGGGTCATCTTGCATCAGGAAT